CATATAGGTACTATATGTGGACCTCTCTCAGATTTGTTCATTTCGTGGTGATATCTTTAATTATCTAATTTCGATGAATATTTTTGTCATTTTTGGTGAAAGGTTATATTTTTGAATTCTTATTGAAAAAAGTCCGATTGCTTTGATACTATACATATTGTTCATTTTCTACTGATATCTTCAGTTCTTTAATTGAAAAGTGCATTGCTCACAGCGGAGCTATCTCAGCCGACAGGATGCTTTTCATTAAACTAAAGACGCAAAAGAGTGGAGATCTTGTGGAGAGTGGGCGTGCCACGATACTTCAAACCGTGTTACATTCAGTCCCACCTTTGCATCCAGTGTTGCCATGTTATATGCAAGCATTTTATTTAGAACAGTGAGCCTGGTGACGGGAGAAAACAGAACAATAGTTGGGGAACATTTAATGTCTCGTGGCACTATCGCTCTCAATGAGATTTTTGTGGCCATTTGCATTTAACTTTAGACATGTGATGGGACGCGCGATAATTTGTTCGATTACGTCATCAATGAGTACCCTCGTTCGAAGCTGGCCAAGTGACGCGTACAGTGCATGCCTATATTTGCAACTAATAGCTAATCATGTTTTCCGGATAAAGCTGTGTCACGTGTTATGCATAATTAGAGGAATATTGCAGTGATCAGACGGCGAATGGTATGTTCAGCCATATGTTCCCTTGCATATCAACATATGCATTGTATGTGCATATTTACATCTAATTTTAATTTCAGTGAATGTCTGTGCGCTTATCGTATTTATACACATACTATATTAAGCTCAATACAGGGATAGTTTGCATGGTTCACAAACAACAAATGAATGTCGACCCCGCCATATGTTACACTTAATACTTTGAAATAATACGGTATTATACCTGTCATTCCCTTTAAAATGGAGATTATGCTTGTTGAGTATTGTACACGGCGTAGCCATGCTAAAATTTTACTATGTTACGTATTGTAGACAGTACACCATAATTCATTTACAGAAATATTAAAAATAAACAACCGTAGCTTGTTTTGAAATGTGTTCTTAATCTTTTCGCCTACTGCATTTTATGTATGTAATGAGCTAAGAGAACTGGTAAAATCAATAAATACAATAAACACTTTCTCACACAGATTGGCTCAGCAAAACGCACTGTATGTCCGAAGACGAGCCGATCACTTTAGATTAGATTTTTTCGCCTGTGTCATTTAGAATATAAGTATTGCTCAAGCATGTTAGGAGAAAGTAAAAAAAAATGTGCATGTGGGTAAAGTATTAAAGATAAATCTGAGCGTTCGTGCCAAAGTATTATGGTGTATTATATGTATAATCAGTTTCGCTTGATCATTATATGATATTCGGTCATACCATTAATAATCGGTTGTTAACAGACGGCGCAATCATAAGGTTCGACTGCTGTGGCCAATAGCTGCTGCCCAGTCAACTCGCCATGTGTATTAAGCTGTTAAGCATTTGGATTTTCAGTAGTGAAATGCTGTAGTTTGAACATAGATAACGTGTATAGATATTCTTTAAGATGAAACAGATGCGGTTCTATTTCTCTGCGCTTTGTTTCTTGTCGATATTGACAGTGTGTATTCTCTATGTGGTACACGAGAACAAAGTAGCAGCGGTATGGTCCCGCGACAACGACACTGACAATGGTGAATCAGGCAAAACAACTGCAGCAACGTTGAGTCGAATGTCAACCACGGTAAGTGTTCACCTTTCACAGATTTTGCGTAACACAGCAAGGTCATTAACCTATCGTACAGTCGGGGATGTAATGACTGGAATGTCTTGTGCACGTGTTCCGATTTTGTACCAGGTTACGGGGCATCAAAAATCTCCTGAGAAATATTGTAATGACTCTAGGTAAACGTGAAATGACCCATACGGAAAAAAAACTCGACCAATTGCCATTTAATTTTGTAAATACTGATTCGCATGTGTAACAGCAACTCGTGGTGTATAAGTTCTTGTATATTTGCAGTTTCATACGATTCGCGACATATCAATATTATCTAATAACAATCCCAATAATCCGATTTCTTGACGCCCTGGTTGACAATCTCAAAATATTGACTGAAGTAGTCTCAGAAATTAAAGTAATTTGAATATTCATGGTAAATTACGATATCAGTTAAGATGTACTTACTGCATAGAGGTTAAATTTAAAATCCATAAGAAAATATAAATTTAAATGTCTTTCCCTGATTCGTAAGTCATTGTATCGTAAGTGAGATAGCTAAACAAGACAAACAGCAGTCACGGTATTATTCACATTCAATAGAATTGTTGACCAATGATGTATTCTCCGCATACTTATCTACCGTATTAAATTATCTAATGTTGTTGTGTGATGCGGTATCCATGGTTACAATACATGATACTATATTGCTGTTGTACTAAGAAACATAAACAACCTCTTTGCGTAGTTTCTGATTTGTGCAATTAATTTTCTTTGAAACTGATAAAAATCAAATGAATAGTTCAAATTGAGCCTGCTTAGAAGAAATCCCAATAATATACATAAGCAATGAAAAAATTTGTAAATATATTTAAATGATCTCCGTCTGACGTAACACTTGACGTAGTATAACCGAAGATGACCTTACTATTTAGTGTAAGATTATTTTAATATTTGACAGTATTGACTAGTAAAATCCACCTGTCGGATACACAATTTTGTTTTCCGATTAAGAGAAGAAACCGGCGCTCCAGGTGGTCGTCGCGCTGCGCATGTGCGACATTTGTGCTGATAAACATTGATTTTCCCACAATCCAATGCGCTCGTCAAATGGAAATCACAAGTATAATGTTTGACATGGGCGCGACTTGCACTGATTACAGCCGGTGACTCCTTCGATACCTTCCAATCACCTAAAAGTACCTAATTAAAGCTTGGAAACGTCTCAGTTTGTACTTGTTGATCTGCGCAACAGTCAAAGTCGCCATCTTTATTGTTTGTATGAGACCCATATATCTCGCGCATGCGTGGTACGACGACTACCGCCTTTTAAAGCACGTACGCGCATAACCAGTAGAATATACTGTTATCACGATTATTCACAAATGCATGAACCTCTTGTATCTTACAGATAGCTGTGCCCTACATTATACTGTCAAAGAACTCAACACACGTTTCAACAGTAAAGCGGCCATTCAAAACACAATTAAACATTACCAACTCACCTTTGATAACAAGTGTCAAGTCGAATATGGATCAGCAAACCTCGATACAAGTATCATCGACTGCCAAGGGAACGCCCAATAGTAACTTGGCGCATTCCTCGCGCAACGCCACAAGATTCGTCATGTCAATTCAAAGGCATGGATTTGGAGGTCAGAACAGCCAATTCAATAACTTTGTGGAGGTAATCAACTTGGCGTTACTGTCCAATCGGACATTGGTGATGACACCGTTTTTTCTCCACGGAGGCCACGTGCGCGGATACACCAAGGAACACATGCGTAACTTCAACAACACATTCGATGTGGATATTCTTCGAGAGCTGTTGCCATTGGGAACCGTTGATGAGTTCAAGAGAAATTGCAAGAAAGAATCAATTAAAGTGGTGACTTGGGATCTAACCGATTACGATAAAACCAATGAACGGACTTTTAAATCTTTGTTAGGAGTGGACTTGCCCCATCATGAGAATGTAAAGCTGCTATCGCAAGCAAATACGACGAGCCAAGTGGAGGAACTGGTCAACCATGCGCCTTGTCTTGCTATGTACGAACCACGCAAATCGAAGCTCCAAATAAACAATAGACATCTTATACTCAATAAAGTTCGGTCGTACCTGAAGAGGAATAAAGTTGTGCGAGACGTTACTGATCAGTTGTTAGCAAACTTTTGTGACGGGAAGCCGTACCTTGCAGTTCACTGGAGGAACAAATCTACTGAAGATCCGTAAGTATGTAAATAGACGTATTGCATTACTCATGGATACAATCGAGCATCATCCGACGTATTGCGTTGAATTCTTTGTAACCTGATTTACTCATATGCTAGCGATTTGATTTGATTTGATTTGATTTAGTCATTGCATCGTGTCTGTGTCTGTATTTTCCTTGTCAATTGCTATTCTTTGTTTTTTAACACACCTTTCTCATGAAATGCGCCCTCTTGTGACTTTCCTTTTGAAGTAAAGGGTATATAATAATGTCTTTTGTTAAATTGTCATTAACCCCGTTACTTGTACTTTAAATTTGCGCATAAAAAAGGAAGAGATGTAATTATGACATTCACAGTCGCCCGAACAAATATATTTGTGGAAACAAATTGTCGCTTTCTATGTTATAGTGATGATATCTCGCCAGAGGGCACTGTTTATTGGAAAGCTGAATATCGCCTTTAATTTTATAAGCAGAAAAAAATTAAATTTATAGTGAAAAATATTTTTAAAAAAACTAACAATTTAAATGTTTTTCGTAAAGTTGTATATTCGACTACAATCGTCTTCAGTGTACAATGGCAAAATTCGAGCTTTCCAGAATGATTGGAAACATCACCAAAGCCGTTGCTGATCTTCAGAAGAAGAACAATCTATCCTGTTTGTACGTGGCTTGTCCTGAGTGGTCTACGGTAAGCAGCAGGAAACAATTGCTCACTTTATATACATTCATTCTTGCATGGACGACGTCATGACGGGATATCGCGTTATTCGTAGAATCTTGCACACACATACTGTAAAATACTTTATTTTCACTTTGAATTAATTTCCACTATTTTCGATGAAGGAATTTTCTTCGGTGAAAATATAATCCAGTGAACATACCTTTTTTTCCTATAAATTACATTCAACTCATCAAATATCAGCGACAATTAATTTCATAAAGTATTTTACAGTACATGCATAAGCCAGATATCAACACAAATAACACAGGTAATTTTAAGGAAGGTATGGTCGAGTCTAACTATGCAATAACCATATCTATTTCACATATACAATTGGAAACATAAACATTACACACTAAACATGTAATATTTGTACTTCATTAGCTGAATACTACACTCTTTCCTTTCTCGTAGAGTATTCTTGACGAGTTATCCAAATTTATACCGAAAGAGCAAATATACCATTTAAAAAGACTCCCAGTAAATGCTGATAATAGGAAATTGTTGGACGACTACTACGCCGCGTCATTGATAGAACAGGAGATATGTTACCGTAAGTTACGAGCTCAACACTGTATACAGTAATACAGTCTCTAATAACTACTCCGTTTGTACATTCGAAACCAAATCTTGCATTTCTGACAGAAGCTCACATACCCACACTTACAATGCAATAGTTCAGGATAAAGTGACTCGGTCCTTACCAATCAATAGTACAACGTTTCAAAATTATGTAAGCCCGAGTTATTGACTATATTTAGTTGTTCGAAACTCGAAACTTATTAATTCCAGCATCGGTAATCACCAATCAGTGAAATTAACCAGAATTATTTTTTTTTTCGAATACTCATTTATGACTATGCAATATATACGTGTATACAAAAAGAATAAGTAATTTAAAAAACATAATGTAATGTAATGTAATATACTTATTTTTCTTGATGTCTGTAGGTTCTCGCGTATTTCTAGCTGCGGGATTCTCCAACTGGTCAAACTTTGTGACAAAGGAGAGAGATCTAGAAGGCAAAATTACGTTTAATATAAAAGAGCTACCTGGAATTCCAAATTACAGAACACTAAATCTTCTATGAGTATGACGTGCTAATGTGCACTTTTGTTACGGAATTTCTGTATGAACAGATATATACACTGCACATATTCCTACTTTCTTTGGATATTTTGATTTACTATACAGTTAAATAACTATGTACTTTTCATGGATGGATCATATTGGAAGACATTGGAAATGATGTGACATCATACCCAGCGGCTGACTTAATAGCTTATATAAACGATCACATACATTTAATTAGATGTCGGAAACGAGCGAAAGAGACAGCTCTCAATAACTTTACACGAAGAGAAACTGATATTATAACCTGGATGTAAGAGACCTTCGAAAAGAGAAATTCTAATATGAAGATGGGATGAGTATAATTATCTTTTTGTGTGGCAGACATTCCTGTACTCACCTTCACCTTGCATAATTTGATATTCCCAATTAGATATTTGTGAGAAAAACGCGCAACAGCACGTAATGAATAATGTATGTTGTCTTGCATAAATTATTCAAATTGAATTATGCAAATATAATACGCTAGTAAAGTTTTATTCGCCATATTTAGAAATGTACTATTATCACATTCCAAACAATTTGCCGTCCAGAACGTCTACATTTGACCGATATAAATAAAACAAATATTCTAAAATGTGATTTCCGTCAGCTTTTTAAGTATGAAGTTTTTGATTAGGCGTCATTCGTTCAATTTCAGTCGAATCCTCTAATAAATTGAAATACAAAAAAAGATTCACGTGTGTTCAGTTATACACAAATACACAAGATGAAACCACACTGGATACTCCCTGTCATCAAACAATTGATTTGTTCCACCCACATGACCAGACATGACCAGACAAGTGCTGAGAACTGCAAACATGGTACTTGTTGACCAGTGGGAATGGTAATCTTTCGTTTGACATTCCATTCCTTCATAAATTTATATTGAACGAAAATACATTTTTATGCAAAAAAAAAAAGAAAAACAGATGTTTTGAATGAGGTTGAATGGGTATTGGACCTTGAAAATTAACATTGTTATGGGGCTTTCCAAAGATGGTTCGTATGGGATTATGAAGGTCAGACTGCAACATACTAATCCATGAGGTCAAAGATGATTTCAAACATTTGAGGGTGTAGTAAATAAAGAAGATGAGTAAAAAACATTTTGTTCCCGAGAAAAGGTTTGTTTTTCGCTTTTTTTCAAAGGTGTAGATTCATGGACTGTGCTTTAGATTGCGAGTTTGTAAGCTGACCCTCCCACAACAAATTTAATCGCGTGTAATTTTCCTTTTACGAAAACTGTAAAGTCGAAATGACAATACAGAGTGGCAGATCACATAACGTAGTTATCAGAGAATACAGTGGTGCTGAAAATCATAACTCAATATTCATATTGCAAACTACTATGTGAGTAGTCCTGATTAGCACGTCGATCTCCGAACATTGTGGTGTGGGCTCGAATACATGTTATAGACGCCAGTCGTGTCCAGACAACGCCAATTATGGACTAGGATTTAGGCTAATCTTGTATATTGGCTGTAATCGCAAGGAGGTGAAACAACCAAACATAGAATATTTTTTTAGAACCCAGAATATGCAAATCTTCTTACATCAGTTCTTCTTACAGTAACCAAGAAAATGTACATGTTAGTTCTATGGTTATACAACTAACATTGCAATGCAAATTCAGAAAGTAAAGATTGCAAAATAACAGCACTACAGAGTCTCATCGTCGGTCCAATTTTCTTCCCAGAAAATAATGTCTCTGGATGTGCTTGAATTGATGTCATGTTGGAAATGACATACTAAAATGAATAGTTATGAATATAATAGTCAGTAGAATAATCTTTCAATCAATCAATCCAATCTTTCAAATGACCTTCAAATACCCATGCTAAAAGATCGCGCACGTTCTCTGTATCTCGTAGCTCGTGCTAAGGAGCTTTACGCATGTATTACACTCACAAATGTGCAAAAGTTCTATAATAAGTTGTCGTGTGGACAGTACAGTAATCTAGACTAACGGTAGATAGGTAGTAATTGTACTTTATTCCGGAGATGACCTATACATATCATAAAACACACAGTTTCGCTAAACGTCGGTCAGGGAGCCAAGCCACACGTACATGACCAAGTGTCCAGGTGCAGCCAACGAGCAATAAATTGAAATAGTCAATTCTATGAGACATAATTTATTTTATGGGCCTTTTGAAGTATGCTAATTAATATAAAGAAAAGAGGGAAAATTAAAAGCTGTTTATAAGCTACCCTCCACCTGAAAAAATTGTCTTTCCCTCCTGCTGACCAAAATCATCTTTCCCCTGCCCTCATTAAAAAAACACTTTTTTGCCTACTTCCTTTCCGCTAACTTGCCTTTCTTGTCCTCCTGCTGACCAAATTTATCTTTCCCCTCCCCTCATTAAAAAAAAAACACCGTTTTACTCCCCTCCCCAATTGGTGGCGTAATTCATCGAATCATTGGCTTCTATGGGCTTCTTGAATACATTAACCACTCAGCAGATCAGTGGATGACTCGCATTTTCAGTTATTGATAGCACACGGCTGCCCACATTTAGCAGATGTTTTTCCTTCCAATGCGTTGTTTTATTATAAGTAGCCTACCCACTAAAAAAGTTTTCCTGTCCTTGCATTTTTTTTAGAAATCTGCCCTGCCCACTGGGGAGTACTTATATTTCCCGCCCCCTACAAAAAATAGAAAAAATACCCTGCCCTCAACAAAAATCCCTTGGAACAGCTGTTTCCGATTAACAGCTCCATTGTCTGCACCTGAGAATCTACACAAGCCAATTAGACTCTAGTGTCCGAGTCCAAGTTATATATCATCCACATGGCACTATGAGGTCACCATGACGCTCATGTTATGAGAATGCGCAAAAGAAGGACACACGTCACTGGTACGTGTTTGAAATTCGTGATGACGCGTCGTGCCTGGAAGTGTGAATATGGTTTATGCACGTGGCCATGCACAATACATTGGAATGTTAAATCTATGTGTTAAGAATGTAAAGACAAACGTAATAAAGCATGGAAAAGTTAACACACTTGCACTGAAATTAATCTGTGGGTGAAGCACTAATATATATGTGCGCTAGAAAACATACATTGAACCTGAAAAGCTCTGGGAAAACACTATTTGGCATAAAAATACAATTTCGTATTTATTAGTTCAAATGATAATGTTCAATACTTCACTTGCGCGGCAATGTAAAACCGTATCAAACATGCATGAACACATCCGTTTAAATCCACAATTTTAAGCTAATCATTAATCAAAAGTGCCAGAACCAAATTCGATAGAGCAATTTATTCCTTCTTCTAAATACACGTATTTATAGTATACTAGGGTAAAGGTCAATTCGTGTCAGATTTCGAAAACAAACAAGCTACATCGGTGTTAGCAGCTGTGACAGTTTGGCGGCCAAATGCGGTCGATGTCGGTCAGAGAATCTATACTGATAGCATTTTCTCCAACATTTTTTCTGACAAATATTCGCCCGTTTAAAGTCCAAATGAACTTCCAGTTGCACAATTTTCTTATTTTGTTTGCTTTGTGAAACAACTTCTTGTTGGCGACAGTCAGGTTTTCTTCGATGTGAACTCTCTCCCTTGCCCCGTTAAGCGCTGTTGATTTTTCTGCTGACTTGGTTTGTATCTCCTTCCGAGAATTGTATATTTCATCGCGGAGAGACTGTGTAACGAATTTCACAATGATTGGTTGCGGGAGTTGTTGTTGTTGTTGGGGTTGCCGGGTTCCTGCTGGGGATAAACGATAACTTATATCGATATCACAAGTCGAGATATTGATACCGACCGCACTTACTAGTTCCACAACCACATCGTCAGTATTTTCAGTGAAATACGGTTGTGGAACGCCGTGAATTTCCAAATGATTTCTCCTTGTGAACTGTTCCAGTTGTTGGAGCTCCTTTTCCGTTTCAGCTAACTGTGTGTTAGTTGTCTTCAGCTGACTAGCAAGGATTTCCTTCTCCTGTTTGATTTCTGCCGTGCGTTTCGTGTTTCCCTCCAGCACATTGCGAATGTATTTCATTGATAGATAGATGTCTTCAAACATATTCTCCGCTGCAGGTGTGTTACTGATCGCCATTCTGAGTGACTCGAGGGATGACATCGTTGATTCGAACGCGATCGACCATTCAGTACCTGATTCGGTACGTGGGACGTACGCGTTCGTTTGGGAGCTCACGTGTTCAAGAGCGGCGGTGAAGCATTTTAACTCGCATTCTTCACAAAATTCAAGATCTGGTGTCTTGGAAGTACGTATACCTTCCTTGAAACTCATGTTTTTATGGTTTCGCGAACAGGATGTCACATACAACTACCATAAGGCCGCAGCACAATATTAATACGTATATACCATAATCAAACCACACACGTAAAGACGGGGACGTTTTCGCCCGGTACACCATATTATATATAGATTTAGTCCCAAATATATCCCAGAGTAATACACATGATCATTCGTGCGTGCGTTTTACTACAATACTTAATCTCTCTCAAGGACTAACAACCTGCTGTTGCCGAATGCTTGCGATATAAATTTCATACGGAAATAATAGTCGCAAATAAAATAAAAATATGCTATCTGACGACCTCTTTGTGTTTCCTCATTGATGCTCATTTTTGCGGTGTCCATCCGGTATGACAATATAACTATGCATCATTGTATTAAATGTATCACTAATGCAGTCCATTTGTTGGTTTGTTCTTTCGAAAAGCTGCACTCACATTTTATTATAGTACATCATGATGATGTACGTGCTGGTGGAGAGCATTGACTCAGTCTTTGAATTGGGTTTATAATTCACCGTGTTTCAATTTTACCATGTGATGAATATAATATTACGTGACAATATTTAGATGTGTCGACCTTCAAAGACCGACAAGTGTTAGTTACCCTAGACGGCACAGTAAAAATCATCACCTTCGCCAGCCAAGATTCATTTATTCGGCCGTCGATTCACCATTAAGTATACCTTGGTTGAATTCCCACTACAAACCTGTATTCAACAACACAATGGTGTATGCTCTGACGCGTTTCCATGGAAACGATAGATGGAAGCAATACCGCTCAAAGAAATAAGTATATTTGACAGTGTTTGTCATTTAGAATATGGTAAATCTTTTAAGACACTCATTCTATAGGCGAACCACCACAGATAATGTCGACACCGAAAATGACATCACTAGAGGGCGCTGCATATAGAAATGGTTTGCGAGTATTCAATACGGATTTGTCACGTGTCTGTATTAGTATTGCAATCTATCGTCACATAGTACCCATATGACAATGACACATTATCACTGCTGTCTATTGTCTTTATTTCTCAAGTGCTAATTTTAGCAAGTTTTCCAATTGTTTATGAAAATCAGGAAGCGTTTCGTATAACTTGTTATAATGTTGGAGAAGTCGCTCACGTGTATATGTTTTCACGTTTAAAGAATACATATCTAAATATAGAATTATAACTAACGTAATAAATGAGGCATTATATATATATTATAATCGCACTTTTATGTAATCATTAAAAAATCGAGCAAGTTTGGTTAAACGATAACGCAATGTGCGTGATAAAAAAAATATCTCAGGCTGTTTACCATCAAAGAAATATGTATACGTGAACAAATTGGAAAATAAATAAAAAAACAAAACACTATCTTACATTAGATTGTTGGATATAGAGCGATCGCCAGCAGCTCTGGCGTGGGGGGGGGGGGTCTTTTCAACTCCCGGCGAAGCCTCTAGATTGAACATGTAGTACAGACTCTTCTCCGCTCGATGGCAACACTGTTAGCAATTATCCAAACAGAAACACAACGCTTGTAATGGCAACTGTTGTACAGAAAAGTACTAATATTTGCATGATTTGCCAGTGTTCAAGGGTTTGGTTTGAATATGTCGAAAATGAACTTGATACTGTTTCTGTGAGTTGCCGTTACCGTGTTTACATCGTTCGTTTATATCCATTTAAAAATGGTGGAGTTTAAAGGAAAAGTCTAAGAAAACAACATGTGAAAGGGCTCTACTAAAATTAAAAGTTGTTTTTTATAAATATATCCCTTTTCATTCTCTAGATATTCAATATTTCACCAGTATTATGTAGTGCACAATCGTAATTCTCTAGCAAGGGCTTATGGGTAAAGAACAAATTGAGTAAATGATTTATTCGTCCTTTTGATGGAGCGTATTAGTTCCGGCGTAACTACTACGTAATATTACCCTCATTTTAAAAGCACTGGGCCATGAGCCGGCGTCTCAATTTCCACCAGAACGGAACGGCTGAAAACCAAGCTGACCAAAACATAGCAATACTATTTTCTAACACCTATTTCGCCCGCTGACTCCCGGAACGTACAAATATGTCCATTGGCAGTATATTACGGCGACATAACTACATCATTTTCAGCATACATGTATTTTACTATCGTGAATCTGGGACTGCGCCCTCTAGCAGTCAATGACTTCGTTTTTACACATTTGACACAAAACCGTGCCGAGTTTGGAGTGTTAAAATGTGCAACACAGCTTAATCATCGTAACCGCGATGTATCTCTATTATAGTGAATTTTAATAATTCTTCCTTTTATTTGAAACAAAAACAAAACAAACAAAAATCAGACACCAGAAACTTTACTTTGTTTACTCATGGAGGTAAAAGACTTGTACCCCCATGTTTTACTCTACCACTGGTATCGTGTTAGTATTATGGTTATTCCGGCCATCTTTGAATAATGTAAAAGACGTGTATTTAAAAATTGTTAATGATCCACTAAAAGAATAGACTATTTGAGTCAATTACAATATATACTGTAAAGGGGTTAATTATTCACTGGGTTTTAATTTTGCTTATTTCGCTGACTGGAAAATGCGCTAAATTAAAACCCAGTAAATATGTAACATTTACTAGCATCTATCTAAATGATAAAACCGTGAATTTAAAACCCACTGAATATGCCTGAAATGGTAAATCAGCGAAATTTAAACCCAGTGAAAATAGTCATTTTCCAGTAGACTGTATATAACTCGTTCTGTAATTACTATACTATGTTAGTGCGCTTCACATGTCACGTGTCTTCGTCGCGTGTGTACTCGTACAGAACTTTGAAACAATAAATAAACCGGGGTTCACGTGAACTGCCACCTTCGCTAGCCAAGGTCTAAGTATATTCGGCCAAGCCTCTAAACAGACCTTGGCAGAACGACCATCAAATACAAGTATTTATTTATTTATTAACACACAACATCCCCCGGAGGGGATGAAAAGGGTTACAAAACAGATATTAGTAAAAGAAAAATAACTACATAAAAAGTAAGGGGACAAAAAAGCATTAAAAAAAGATAAATTTGTATATAAGGAATGTGTTACTGGCTTAGTTATGTAGGTGCTGCTGTCTTGTATTAAAACAGTTTTTTTTTTAAATATTGCGCTAAAGAAATTGACATTTTTTCGTTACTTAGTAATGATATGAATTTATTTTCATTACTAAACTTGTCAAGCGTATTCTAAAAGCGCCCCAGTAGTCAGTTGCGGCTAATCATTGTCCAATCAGTTTGCGTGTTACAAATCCCTCTTTGGCGTTTCATTTTAAACAAAATGGCGGCGCCCATGAATCGTGATTTTTGTGATGATAAAATTGCGAAAGTTTTCGGTGTTGGTGCCTTCAAGCCTCATCAGGTACAGGCAATCGACGCAGTTTTGTGTGGGAAGGATGTCTTCATAGCGACAAAAACAGAAAGTAGAATTTTTTTGTTTTATAATTTGGTACGTCCAAGCTGATTGGGCGCCTTGTTTCGAGGCGCGCCCAATCAGATCTCACTGCTTAAGATACGCAATTTTATTTATTTATTTATTAACACTTACTCATTCCCCGGAGAGAGTGGCAATGGTTACAGAAAATAGTAAAAGATTACAGCACCAATACACTAATAAGGAAGTAATAATTAAAAAAAAATAGCGTATGCGATCCCGCAGGGTATCGTGTAGAGACCTATAGGTCGAAGACACGGGACCGTGCGATTCGGACGATGGTGAGCTGCTAGAAAATCCGCAGCGATCATGTTGATTTTGCAGTGGTATACATGATACGGACTGCACACACAGTGCAATCATTTTCCTTCTAATCATCGGAACACGACCAACTGAATAAGTTGGGGTTGGTATGCGCCGTCACGTGTCAAACCTGTGGCTGCAAATGTAATAGATATATTTTAAATAATAGAGCCTCGTTAGCGCAGTAGGCAGCGCGTCAGTCTCATAATCTGAAGGTCGTGAGTTCGATCCTCACACGAGGCAGACTTGTAATTTAGTGTATTCACCAAACTAATAATTAGTTTTGTTCGACTTTCATTCCTTCCCATGGAGTAAATGAAAGCGACGATTCAGATCTACTGATTTAAATTGAGAACTTTTTTTGAAGTCAACAACTGTTAGGATAATACCATCATACAACTGACGTTTCAGTCCGAATAATATTTCTAGATATAATGAAATAAGTTACCCTTGAAACCAAAGCAACGCAAACACGAAATCAAAAGTTACCCGCCGTCTGGTTGGCGTCATTTACACTTCACAGACTAAAAACATATCTAGCAATTACAATGCATGCTGGTACACATCCACATGTCACGTGTCACTAAACTATCAAAAAAAAAAAACAACATGTCAGTGCAAAACTCTTGTTTAATAAGTGGATCATGTGGGTGGGACTGGATTAATACAACCGGTAATAGCGATGTTATCAGAACAGGTACGTGAACAAAGGTCACGCTAGTAAGCTAGAGGATCCATAGCTGTATGCAGTGATCATGTTGATTTAACAGTGGCAGATATGATACTGGCCGCACATACAGCGCGACCACACGTCTTTAACAATCATAGAAATATGACCAATTCGGTAAGATAAACTTAAACAATTTAAACTATTACGTGTCAAAGCTGAGATACCAAATACCATTGTTTCGCGATGTAGACCAGCGCCTCGTTAGCGCAGTAGGCAGCGCGTCAGTCTCATAATCTGAAGGTCGTGAGTTCGATCCTCACACGGGGCAGCCTGTAATTTTACTAAGCACAGCACTATCTAGTTTTGTTTCTTTTATTCCTTTATCAATAGTTCAGGTTTTTCTCGTACAAAAAGCGCTTTTACATATTTAAATGAGTCCCCGAGCATGAATTGTAGGAATGTTTAATGTTTTATTGCTAATTTACATGGAGGTAATAACGGACTTCGTTCGTATAAGGCCAGACTATTTTTTATTCCTTGTTTTGCGAGTTTTTATAACGC